ACATGTGGTCCTCCAGGATGGACCAGGTCCTGCTGACCTCTTCAACCACATCTCTCGCTCTTTCCCACAGGCATGGATGCTCCACCCTGAGTAACTGAAGGACTTCAACTTCCCTTTCTCCAGGTTGTTGGATAGTTGCCGCTCCACTGTCTGGAACACTCTTTTTCTTCTTTTATTTTCTTTTCCCTCCCTCCCTCTCTCTTTTTCTCTTTCTTTCTTTCTTTTCCTTCCTTCCTTCCCCTTCCTTCCTTCCCTCCCTCCTTTCTTTTTTCTTTTCTTTTCCTTCCTTCCTTCCTTTCTCTCTCTCTCTCTCTCTTTCTTTCCCTTCCTTTCCTTTTTTTCTTTCTTCTCTCTCTCTCTCGTTTGTTTTTGAGACGGAGTCTCAATCTATCACCCAGGCTGGAGTTCAGTGGCAAGATCTCGGCTCACTGCAACCTCCACCTCCTGGATTCAAGTGATTCTCCTGCCTCAGCCTCCCTAGTAACTGGGATTACAGGCGTATGCCACCGTGCCCGGCTAATTTTTGTATTTTCAGTAGAGATGGGGTTTCGCCATGTTGGCCAGGCTGGTTTCGAACTCTGACCTCAAGTGATCCACCTGCCTTGGCCTCCCAAAGTGTTGGGACTACAGGTGTGAGCCACCACACCTGGCTCTTTTCCCACTTTCTTAACTAAGCCAACTCTTAAGACTCAGTCAACATGGCAACACCTCCAGGAAGACTTTGAGACAAGAAATAGCTTTAGTCTGGTCTTCTGGCCTATAAGCCTCTGGCCATCTCTCTCCGTCTTTCTTCTGTTCTCATTCTTACCTGCCTTCAAAGGGTTTCCACTCCACTTGGCCTCCCGGCTGTTCAAACAGGCCTATCGCACTCCCGCTCTCGCTTCTCTACCTCAGAATTATCTTCCCATGGTCGGCCTGGCTCAGTGCTTCCACTCCTCTAGGTCTTTGCTCATCTGTCATCTCTCAGGAGGCCTTTTATCACCCATCCTAGCACCCCCTTCCACTCTTCCTTGCTTTTTCGTCTTTCTTTCTCTTTCTTTCTTTTCTTTCTTTCTTTTTCTTTCTTTCTTTCTCTTTCTTTCTTTTTTTTTCTCTCTCTCTCTTTCTCTCTCTCTCTCTTTCTCTCTTTCTTTCTTTCTTAGACAGAGTCTCACTCTATTGCCCAGGCTGGGGTACAGTGGCATGATCTCGATTCACGCAAACTCCACCTCCCAGGTTCAAGTGATTCTCCTACCTCAGCCTTCTGAGTAGCTGGAATTACAGGTGTGTGCCACCACATCCAGCTAATTTTTGTATTTTTAGTAGAGACGAGGTTTCACCATGTTGGCCAGGCTGGTCTCGAACTCCTTACCTCAAGTGATCCACCCGCCTCAGCTTCCCAAACTGCTGGGATTACAGGCGTGAGCCACCGCGCCTGGCCTTCCCTGCTTTTTTTCTGTAGCACTTTGAATCATCTGACAACTTATATCATTTACGTTCTTTGTTTACCCTTTCTCCTCCTTTAGAACTCTGGCTCACCGCTTTATCCTCAACACTAGCAATTCAATGAATATCGTACCTATGGGAAAAGAAGAGGGGTGGGGAAGAAAGGGAGGAAGGGGATAGAAAGGAAGGATTAAAGGTCTTTCAAATTTCTCTATTTTCATAAGACAGCACTGCCAAGACCCCTGATAACCTTGGACATCCCCACATAGCCACGTAGCCAAGGCCTGACTGCAGTCTATCCTGAGTCCTGGACAAATGCCTGGATTTCCCTGGCAGCAAGGTTTCCTTTTTTTTTTTTTTTTTGATTGAGTGAGGAGACTTTATTGATGGCACACGACAAGGTGGGGCTCCCTAGGTGTCTCCCTCTTCACGCGGTCTGCGTGGAAACTGTGAGGAGGGGAGATTCTCCGTGTGGTGGGGCCTGAGTGGCGCAGGGACTCTCCAGCAGTGAGGGCCTCTCTCTTCCTCTCGTGCTCTCACTGGGTCTGGTGGTCCAGGGGTCTTACTCCTTGGAAGCCATGTGAGCTCTACCACCCTGTTGCTGTAGCCAAACTCATCGTCCTATCAGGAAATGTGTTTGACAAAGTGGTCATCGAGGGCAATGCCAGCTCCAGCATCGAAGGTGAAAGAGTGGGTGTTGCTGTTGAAGTTGGAGGAGACGACCCGGTGCTCGGTGTAGCCCCGGATGCCCTTGAGGGGCCCTCCAAAGCCTGCTTCACCACCTTCCTGATGTCATCCTATTTGGCAGATTTTTCCAGATGGCAGGTCAGGTCCATGACTGACACGCTGGCAGTAGGGACACAGAAGGCCATGCCAGGGAGCTTCCGGTTCAGCTCAAGGATGACCTTGCCCACAGGGCTTACCTATCTTATAGAAGAGTCTCACAAGGGTGTTTCTCATCTATGTCTCTAGTTTAGTTGAGACTAGGGCTTTCCATCTTCTCCTTTCTCTGCACCCCCTACAAGTTGCTTCACTTTAGGACAGAGCCACAGGTTTCTGTGTAAGTCTGGAACTGCTTGCTGAAGTTTACAGTTTGTTCCTTGACAGAGTGACCTACCACTCATAACACCTGTCATCCGACCTCTGAGACTGGCAATGCTGTCCCATGGGATTAGAGATGCAGGGAGCTGACATCATGTTGGTCTTGATTTTGCTGTTTTGTGAGGCCTGAGAATTGCTTAACTGCTTGAAACTCCTCACCTTCACCTTGTCTCTGTGGACACAGATATTCCTTGGAGTACTATACAGTCCCAATTAATAGAGCTTTCAATACTCATTTTGCAGCTCATCATTAAAATTCATGCTTAGTAACTGATGTAAAATAACGAATTGTTTACCTAACAACTATTGTTATACATGATACAACATACACACACACACACACACAGAGAGAGAGAGAGAGAGAGCGCGCGAGCGAGCTAAGGTCAGAATACCATGGAGGAAAAGAAGAATAGAAGAATCTGGTGGTCAATTCCCTTACTTTCTTCTGTTGACAAATTTTCTTGTTGGGACCTTCACTTATTTCATCAAAAGATGGTGGCTAATTATATAATTTATTACTCAGAAGCTTTTTATGTATTTATTTGTTTTGGAGACAGGGTCTCACCATGTTGCCCAGGCTGGAGTGCAGTGATGTGATCATAGCTCACGGTAGCCTCCACTTTCTACGCTCAAGCAATCCTCCAGCCTCAGCCCCAGGAGTAGCTGGGATTACAGGCACACACCATGCCTAGCTTTTTTTTTTTTTTTTTTTTTTTTTTGTAGATATGGGGTTTCGTCATGTTGCCTAGGCTGGTCTTGAACTCCTGGGCTCAAGCAATCCTCCTGCCTCAGCCTCCCAAAATGCTGGGATTACAGGTGTGAGCCACCACAGCCGGCCATCACTCAGAATCTTAAGTCATTGTCAAACAATGGAAAGCATACAAATCAAACAGTAGTCCAATTCTAGAATATAAAAAGAAAGCTCTAATATTCAAAGACCAAACAGATTTTACAGGACTGTCATTACTGTCATTAAAAAGTAAAACTGGCCAGTTGTGGTGGTGCGTATCTGTAATACCAGCACTCTGGGAGGCCGAGGTGGGAGCATTACTTGAGCCCAGGATTTTAAGACCAGCCTGGGCAACATAGTGAGACCCCATCTCTACAAAAAGTACAAAAATTAGTCAGGCTTGGTGGCATGCTCCTGTAGTCCCAGCTACTCGGGAGGCTGAGGTGGGAGGATCACTTGTGCTTGGGAGGAGGTTGCAGTGAGCTGAGATGGTACCATTTAGCCTGGGCAACAGAGCAAGATCCTGTCTCAAAAATAAACAAAACAAAACTGATTCTTCAGATTAGGATATCAAATATGTAAAGTAATAATTTGAGAAACATGAAAAAGTGTTATGTGTGAAGAAAATCAGAAGATTGAATCTGTGTTATTTTAATGTAAAAGCATGCACATATGTGAAACGAAGTAGAAGGGAACACTAAAGAAAAAATGGGTGTGATTGGGTCATGGGAGCATGTTTGTTACTTTTTGGTTGTAATGTTTGTGTGATACAAGAGGGAGAGAAATTACTTTCGAAATGTACTTGTTAATTTTAGCAAAATCCTTGTGGAAATTAAACTGCTAGTTTTAAAATAAAACACAAGTACTAAAATAATAGAGGTTATGTTTCATTTTTATTAACTTAGTTTTGCCATGGTTGAGACTGGATTCACCACAGTTCAATTTATCAAGCACTTAACTATGTGTTCCGCACATAATAATCATCTTAGCATAGAGGATCATCTCTTCTAATCCTCACAAGAGATACTATTTTTATCACTTCATAGAGGAGGTTAATAAACTTGACTAGGTCATAAGATCTTCAGTCGAAGTTAGGATTTCAACCCAGAGCCAAGTAATGTAATGGCTGATGTTTTCCATAGAGAAAATGTAAGCTGAGATGATGCTCAAACTATAAATCTGGAACCTTAGGGGGACAAAAACGTATGGATGTCTCCTTCCTATTACTTTAGCATTTTAATTAGACCCGTGCGTCTCTATTTGTTTTTGGACATGCAAGCTGCTTGCAGTTCATCATAGCGAACTCACACAATTCATTTGATGAAACACAAACCTGTTCTTACAAACTCACTGTCATCTCTTTTTAATCTTACTAATTCCGATAAAAATCACATTGCACTTTACCCTGTGTAACCTCCAATGATCTCTGACGGAAAGCCAAATCTTCTTTGTGTGTTTGCTTTATGGACAGTTAGGTTCTACACAGGTACTTAAACATGAAAATTGAAATCATAGAGGCTGAGCACCGTGGTTCAAGCCTGTAATCCCAGCACTTTGGAAGGCCGAGGCAGGCGGATCACCTGAGGTCAGGAGTTCGAGACCAGCCTGACTAACATGGTGAAACACTGTCTCTACTAAAAATACAAAAATTAGCTGGGCTGGTGGCCCGTGCCTGTAATCCCAGCTACTCTGGAGGCTGAGGCAGGAGAATCGCTTGAACCCGTGAGGCGGTGGTTGGAGTGAGCCAGGATCACGCTATTGCACTCCAGCCTGGGACACGAGGGCGAAACTCTGTCTCAAAATAATAATAATAATAAATAAAGGACAGAAACTATACCAGAAAATAGGAAACAAAACGAACAGTGAAGAGAGTGAGAAAAGGAGGCAGATATGTAGAAGAGGAAAAGGAAGGGGGCCCAAGTGAGGCTGGAAAAACCGGGGAGGAGGAGGGGGCTCATTAGGTCAGAAGCAACCTGCCGTCTTCTAAGTTCTGGCCAAGGGTAGATCAACGGATCCAGATTCCTGAGTTTTAAAATGTTATTAGGCTGCTTCATCACTTGTCCCTGACGTTGCAGCGACTCCGATGGTAACTTTAGTCTCCATTGCTTGGAGCAGCCACAGTGTACACCGGACAGGATATTCCGCGCAGCTGTTGCTGAACTCAAGGCAACTCCTATAGCCTTTCTCTTTTCGGGACTCAAGATTCCTTGCATTATTGCCCATAGGCATGTTTTATCCCACACTCCTTCTCCCTTTTATCTTGATTTTCGTGGTGCTGGGGAGTCTGCAGGGATTCCATGGCGACGGGTTCACTGGGACAGGGGCTGGGGTTGTGCGTCCCTGAGGCAAAGCAAATACAGAAAAGCGAATAGAGATAGAGGGCTAAGACTCCCAGGCACTGAAAGGTAGAAACTGGGTTATAAGAGAGAAGGGAGCACAGACGCCCGGAGAGAGCCTGCCCTCGGGATACCACTGGCGGTAGGCTGGCCTCCGAACAACTAGAAGGTCCAAGCCCTGAGCGTCTGGTTACCCGGGCAACTTTATGGCCTCGCGATACAGACCTCGCGCCTGCGCACTGCCGCTGTAGGGGGCCCGGTCCGGAACCTCCACCCCGGGGCCTAAACTCGAATCTAAAAGATGGGGCCTCGTTGTGTTGTTTCCGGGCCGCGCGACGCTGTGGGCTGCTTTCCCCTTTCCGGAGTGACCTAACACAGGATAACGAAACCTGCAGTGCTCCTAGCGCTTCCGCTCCGCCCCGTCGCGTCTGGGAGGCGAAGCCGCGAGGCGAGCGCTCTGCGCATGCGCGGCGCAGGCGCACTTGGAGCCGGTGCTGTAACCCTCAGGTGAAGGCGGATCCGCCATCGTGAGTTCCAGGTGGGCGCGCGGGGCCCAAGTAGGGCAGGAGGCCAGCCCCGGGGGGATCGGGCCCGGGACTCCACGGAATCTGGAGGCCGAAGCCCGCGCGCACGCAAGGCTTCCGCTGCTTCCCCGACGCCTCTTGCGTGGCCGCGGAACCCGCCGCCCTCTCGGTTGGGCTACCCAGTGCCGGGCCAGGCGTGTGCACCCAGAGCTTCCGCGCCTCTCCTCGGGCTCCTCTGCTGGATTGCAGCGCCGGCTGGGCACCAGGAGTGCAAAGCGAAAACCGCACGCCGGCCGTTCTGTTCTCCACGGTCTCCAAGGAGACACGGACCGATCCAGGGGCGGCGTGCAGTGGGGAGGTGAGCTTTGGGTCGGCCGTCGCCCCTCGGCTACCGGCGGGATCCAGAAACCGGAAGTCACCACCGATACCCTTCTCACCTTTACTCCCAGCTGGTCACTACTGTGTCGGGAGATTCTACCTTCTTTTCCGACTAACATGTATTTCTCTCCAGCCCTTTCTGCGGTGTCTCTAGTGTAGGCCACCGCCATTTCTAACCTGGACGACTCCGGGGGCGTGTTTGCTGCTCAAGGATTCTTCCTTTGCCCAGATCCGCAAAGATCTGTAACGTCTTTCTTATCATGACGCCCCTGCTTTAGACGTTAAAGTTGCTTCACACTGGAAGGCTTGCAAAGGTCTTCATTATCTGGTCCTTACCCACCTTTCCTAGTTTCTCACTGCTTTCTCTAGCATCTCTGCCCCAGCCACATTGAACTTATTGGAACTTGCTTTTTTTTTTTTTTTTTTTTTTGGAGACATAGCAGTCGCCCAGGCTGGAGTGCAGTGGCGCGATCCTGGCCCACTGCAACCTCCTCCTGCCGGGTTCAAGCGATTCTTCTGCCTCAGCCTCACGAGTAGCTGGGACTACAGGCGCGCGCCACAACGCCCGGCTGATTTTCGTATTTTTAGTAGAGACGGGTTACCATGTTGGTCAGGCTGGTCTCGATCTCCTGGCCTTAAGTGATCCGCCCGCCTGGGCCTCCCAAAGTGCTGGGATTACAGGCGTGAGCCACCTTGCCAGCCAACTTCTTTCTTTTAATGCTGAGATACCTTTCTTTACTCCATACTCCCTTTGGTTGGCATTGTTTAGATGTAGGTTAAGAGGTCCGGCCGGGCGCCTCTTAGTCCCAGACTAAGTGCTCACGCCTGTAGTCCCAGCACTTTGGGGGGCCGAGGTGGTTGGATCACAAGGTCAGGAGATCGAGACCATCCTAGCCAACATGATGAAACCCCATCTCCACTAAAAATAAGAAAATTAGCCGGACATGGTGACGCGCGCCTGTACTGTAGTCCCAGCTACTCGGGAGGCTGAGGCAGGAGAATCGCTTGAACCCGGGAGGCAGGCGGAGGATGCAGTAAGCCGATACTGTGCCACTGCACTTCAGCCTGGCGACAGAATGAGACTCCGTCTCAAAAGGGGGAGAAAAAAAAAAAGCAGTTCCTCTATGAGGACTGCCTTTTCCTACCCCCTCAACTAAGCTAGGCCTCTGCTGGATATTCCCTAAGCATCCTGTAGTTCCCTGACCTTCATGTGCATCAGGCTTTATTGTATAATTACCTGCTGATATTTTTTCCTTGTGGACTGTAAGCTCACTGAGGTCTGCGACAAAAAAATACTTAATCTTTATGGCCTGGCACATCCTGGATAATCCAGAAAGGTGGTGCCTGCGGCTGAGGGTGGGAGTGGTATTCCAGGCAGAGGGACTAATGTATATAGACTTGAAGGTGGGAAAATGCTGGCCTCATTAAATAGTATGTGGTTCGGTGTTGAGGTCTTGTGCTTGGTGGGGCCTAAGGAGAAAGAGGCTGGTGGGAGATTGAGACTGGAGATTGGAGGGCCTTTTATGTCACATTAGAGTTTGGGTGGGGCATGATAGCTCATGCCTGCAGCCCAGCACTTTGGGAGGCCGAGGCTGGGGGATTGCCTGAGCCTAGGAGTTGAAAACCAGCCTGGGCAACAAAGCAAGACCCTGTCTCTACGGAGTTGTTTTTTTTTTGTTCTTTTTTTGAGACAGAATCTTACCCCGTTGCCCAGGCTGGAGTGCCGTGGTGCAATTTCGGCTCACTGCAGCCTCTGCCTCCTGGGTTCAAGCGATTCTCATACCTCAGCCACCCAAGTAGCTGGGATTACAGTTGCGCATCACCACACCTGGCTAATTTTTGTATTTTTAGTTTAGACCGGGTTTCACCATATTTGCCAGGCTGGTCTCGAACGCCTGACCTCAAGTGATCCGTCCAGCTTGGCCTCTCAAAGTGCGGGGATTACAGGCGTGAGCCACCGTGCCCAGCCTATACAGAAAATTTAAAAATTAAAAAACTTTTCTGGGCTTGGTGGTGTGCACCTATAATCCCAGCTACTTAGCAGGAGGCTGAGGTGGGAGGATCGCTTGAATCCAAGAGTTCAAGACTGCAGTGAGCCATGATCAAACAACTGCATTACAGCCAGATGACAGGGCAAGACTGTCTAGTAAAAAGTGTTTGCCCTTGATCTATAGGCAGCAGAGGCCTCTTGAGACACAGCTCTAAAAGGACCTCAGCAAAGCCTTATTTTTCTCCCTTTCTCTAAAGCTATAAAATCTTACCAGTCAGTATTTTGTATCTGGATTATATTGCATGAGATTATGCTTATCCAAACTACTTGGCTCTCTTTACCTCCCTAGCAGATTCTGCAGGCGGGAGAAGTTTATAGCCTGTTTTGCGATCCCTCCGGAGCATGGTTTTAAGTATTTACTCTGTGGTGTTTGGATGCGGAGACATGATCTGACTTGCAGTTGCCAAGACCTCTGTTCCATCCTATTTGTTTCACCCCTCTGTCACTTATTTCCCTCTTCCTGACCACTTTGAACCTGATGCCAGCCCCTCGCAGTCACCGCATTGCATCTGGATGAGCCACTTTTCTTCCTGATTCCCTGAGCTCTGGGGAGCATAGAGATAATGGGGTCAGGGGGCAGTGTGGCCACTGTGAAGGAAGCAGCTTAGGCCCCAGAAGTCTCCAGCAGTGGGCAGTACCGAGACGACCAGGGTGTGATCTCTCACCCCAAGGAGCTGAATTTGGGTTTTCTGTGGGAAGGTGTCTGGGAAGAGTATCAGAGACCAATAGCGCTCAGGGGGCCCTTCCTCGGGGCTGTCCAGCGTGGAAGCACCCCGTCCTACACCAGTGGTTCCTGATTGCGGTTCTGAATCAGATTCACGGGGGCATTTATTTATTTATTTTGATAAGGAGTCTTACTGTCGCCTAGGCTGGAGTGCAGTGGCGCGATCTCAGCCCACTGCAACCTCTGCCTCCTGGGTTCAAGAAATTCTGCCTCAGCCTCCCGAGTAGCTGGGATTACTGGCAGGCACCACCATGCCTGGCTAATTTTTTTGTATTTTTTAGTAGAGATGGGATTTCAACATATTGGCCAGGCTGGTCTCAAACTCCTGACCTTGTGATCGACCTGCCTCGGGCTCCCAAAATGCTTTGGTTACTGGCATGAGCCACTGCACCCGGCCTAGGGCAGCTTTTTATAAGCACAGATGCCCAGGTCTTATTCCTGAAGATTCCAATTCAGTAGATCTGGGTTGAGGACCAACCATCTGCCTGTTTTAAGAAGCCACAGGTTATTTTTGAGGTGTAGCAAGGATTGAAAGAACAGAAAACTTGGGATTTGGAAAACTAGTTGTGACTCCGGGCAGTGAGTCAGTTTCCTAATGCACACATTGGGGAATTCTATAGGAATGCTGTGAGAAGCAAATAATCCATGGAGAGAGTGCTTTATACAGCGATACACTACTGAGGCACACTTGCCTTCAACATCAGCTACCAGCCTAGTAAATGGAAGTATAAATGGAAAGGACGTAACTTCCTTTAGTTTTGCCAGGTGGGTCCCTGTGATTCTAACTGAGCCCCAGGAAGAAAGGGAAGAAAACAGGGAAGAGAAAGGAATGTGTATTTGCCTCTGGGAAGGATAAACAGGATATGCCCTCTGGACCAGTAGTTTATAATATTTTCCCTATTAAGCATCCTTCTCATTTTTCCTCAATGGATTAATATCTTTAAATTTCATTACATTTCCCTAGTCTTCATGAAATTGCCAGCCAGAAAAGTTGGCTCGGGGCCCCCCTAAAAAGGAGGAATGGCCGGGAGTGGTGGCTCACACCTGTAATGCCAGCACTCTGGGAGGCTGAGGTGGGTAGATCTCCTGTGGTCAGGAGTTCGAGACCAGCCTGACCAACATAGTGAAACCCCGTCTCTACTAAAATTACAAAAAGTAGCCAGGCATGGTGTTGGGCGCCTGTAATGCCAGCTACTCTGGAGGCTGTGGCAGGAGAATCACTTGAACCTGAGAGGCAGAGGTTGCAATAAGCCGAGATCGTGCCATTGTACTACAGCCTGGGCAACGAAAGCGAAACTCTGTCTCAAAACACAAAAAAAGAAAGGGGAGTGTATGCCTGCATACATATCAAGTACTGTAGGAAGGATATTCAAGAAATTTAGGGCCCTGGGAGGTAGGGAGACTTACAAACATGGACATGACAGAATTATTTGAAGTCTTAATCATGAGATGACTGTTCAGTTCTTTTAAAATACCACACCTGATTGGTTTTGAATGGCAGAGGTCACCAGAGTCCTTGCAGACTGTGCGCTCTACGTGGGTGGACATTGTTTACCGTGAGCCCCAGGACCTAGAACGCCACTTGCACACTGGAGGTGCTCAGATCTTTTTTTTTGCAGATAGGGTCAGATGTGTTACTGGGCACCGCACGATCATGTTCACTGCAGCCTTGACCTCCTGGGCTCGAGTGATCCTCCCACCTCAGCCTCCCAAGTAGCTGGGACTACAGGTATGCCTCACACTTAGCTAATTTATGTATTTTTTTTTTTTTTGTGGAGGGTTTCTCCATGTTACTCAGAGTGGTCTCGAACTCATGGGCTGAAGTGATCTGTCCACCGCAGCCTCCCAAAATTCTGAGACTGAAGGCATGAGCCACTGTGCCAGGCCTAGAATATTTGTTGAATGAATGAATGGAAGCCCAACTAGACAGCATTTTGGAAAACAGTAACAAGTTATAAGATTAATACCATATAGTCACTAAAAGGTTAATTATGAACAAGTAGAAACAGCATATTTTTAATAAATGAAATAGACAAATGGAATTGTACTACGATTGCAATAATGAAAACTTTCACATATTGCTTGTATAGGAATAAAGACAAAGTCATATAAAAAAATGGGGAAAATTAAACCCTGGTCATCCATTGTCCTGAGTTTTTTTAAAGGGCCCCAGTAGAGCATTTAAAATGGGGTAAGAAATGGGGAAAAATAAAATTACTTAATCTTTAACAAGAAGACAAGTGTATGCTCACCTAATTGGACTTATATAATGAGGCTTGCTCTAGCTTATCAAGAATCAGAATACAGGCTGGGGCGCACTGGCTCACGGCTGTAATCCCAGCACTTTGGGAGGCCGAGGCGGGTGGATCACCTGAGGTCAGGAGTTTGAGACCAGCTGGGCAACATGGTGAAACCCCGTCTCTACTAAAAAAATAGAAAAATTAGCTGGGCTTGGTGGCGGGTGCCTGTAATCCCAGATACTCGGGAGGCTGAGGCAGGAGAATCGCTTGAACCCAGGAGGTGGAGGTTGCAATGAGCCGAGATTGTGCCATTGCACTCCAGCCTGGGCAACAAAAGTGAAATTCTGTCTCAAAAAAAAAAAAAAGAGAGAGAGAGAGTACAACCAAGATACTCTTAAGTTATGCAATTGTCACTAACATGAATTTTTTCTGTTGTCATTTTGCTTCTTGGAAGGATTTTAAAAATGGCTGCAGCTCCTCAAGCACCGGGGCGGGGATCTGTCCGTAAGACGAGACGTCTGGTTGTGAAGACGTCGTTGAACAACCCATACACCATCTGCTGGAGCCCTCTGGAGAGCGAGGATATGCACTTCATCCTACAGACGCTTGAAGACAGGCTTAAAGCTATTGGACTTCAGAAGATTGAAGATAGGAAGAAAAAGAACAAAACCCCTTTTCTGAAAAAAGAAAGCAGAGAGAAATGCAGCAATGCTGTTGATATTAGTGAGGATCTGAAGGAGAAAACAGACGCTAAGCAGCAAGTGTCAGGGTGGACGCCTGCACACATCAGGAAGCAGCTTGCCATTGGCGTTAACGAAGTTACCAGAGCCCTGGAAAGGAGTGAACTGCTGTTAGTTCTGGTGTGTAAATCAGTCAAACCTGCCATTATCACCTCACACCTGATTCAGTTAAGCCTCAGCAGAACCGTCCCTGCCTGTCAGGTCCCCCGGCTCAGTGAGAGAATCGCCCCCGTCATTGGCTTAAAATGTGTTCTAGCCTTGGGCTTCAAAAAGAACACCACTGACTTTGTGGACGAGGTAAGAGCCATCATCCCCAGAGTCCCCAGTTTAAGTGTACCATGGCTTCAAGACAGAACTGAAGATTCTGGGGAAAGTTTAGAGACTGAACCTCTGGAAAGCCAAGACAAAGAGCTTCTGGACACTTCATTTGAAGATCTGTCAAAACCTAAGAGAAAGCTTGCTGACGGTCAGCAGGCTTCTGTAACATTACAACCCCTTAAAATCAAGAAACTGATTCCAAACCCTAATAAGAAAAGGAAACCACCCAAAAGTAAAAAAGCTACTCCAAAGTAATCTTGCATAAACTTGCCATGTCATACTGTTTGTGAAAGCACACCTTGTGAAGAAGCCTTACAACTAATAAAATGAGTTATATTTACATAGATTCATACAGTCCTGTTTGGTAATATTCAAATGTGTAAGACTCTTTGTAACTATGGCACAGATATTAAGTGCAGGAAATATTCAAAAATAGGAATACCCAAACAGAAGTTTATTGAAACTAGTGTTCATGCGTATTTAAATTGACTTCTTCCTTTTCTTTTTTTGAGACAGAGTTTCACTCTTGTCCAGGCTGGAGTGCAATGGTGCGGTCTCGGCTCACTGCAATCTCTGCCTCCCAGGTTTGGGCAATTCTTCTGCCTCAGCCTCCCGAGTAGCTGGGACTACAGGTGTGCACTACCATGCCCAGCTAATTTTTGTATTTTTAGTAGTACCATGTTGGCCAGGATGGTTTCCATCTCTTGACCTCGTGATTTGCC